AGGTGTAGGTAGAACTTCGCTGAGTGATAATGAAACGAACTTTGTATTTTCGTAATGTTATGGGATTCTAAGGGTGGGTGGGTGTTATATCGAAACCGTGAAAACAGCTATACTGTAACACTGCTCGACCCGGAGCTGCTGAACCTAAACCCTAAACCCTAAACCCTAAACCCTAAACCCCAAACCCCAACACATCATGGGCTTCTGGGCTCTGGGTCTGGGGTCCAGAGCTTCTGGGCTCGAGGGTTTAGAGTTTTAGGGGTTCTTGGGGTTTGGTTAGGGTTTAGGGTTTAGGGTTTAGGGTTTAGGGTTTAGGGTTTAGGGTTTAGGGTTTAGGGTTTAGGGTTTAGGGTTTAGGGTTTAGGGTTCTCTTTTGGAGAGGTCTCATAAAGCATGAGGTTTCCAGAAGGGGGCTTCTGGGGTGCTTACCAAGGAGCTCTTTTGAAGCGGGCTGTTCTATGAGTTTTCGTGCGGTTTTTGTAAGGGTGTTGTAGTGCGTTGATAGGTCTTTAGAAGGGTGTTAAGGAACAAAGTTTCAGTTGCCATATTCAGGGAACGGGTATTGCCGATACAGTATCTTACTTGAAGCTCCTGAACAAGAGCCCTAAACCCTAAATCCTAATCCCGAAACCTTAAACCTCTAAAGCCCTAAACCCAAACACACAAAACCCCTAAACTCCAAGCACTAAAAACACAAACCCTTGACTCTAACCCCAAAGCCCCAAAATCCAAAGCCCCAAACCCTAACCCCCCCCCCCTCCAAATCCTAAGCTCAAAGCCCTCAGCCCAAGACCCAAAGCCCTAAGCAAAGGATTCTTTAGCGCCTTTAGTCTGCCCGGCATCTACGTGTCCCACACGGTGGGCTTGAAGCGCCGGAGCGAGATTCTATTCTACTTCTCCGCCTTTCTGACGTTGGGCTGCGCCATTGGGCCAGCTTTGGCTGCGATGTTGGAGGCCTCCATGAAGCTAGGCGGCAAGTTGGGGATACGGTTGAGGGTTCGGGTCTCTTTGTTTCCTCGTGGTCTCATCGAGGTAGCTTTTCATGCGTTTTTTTTTTTGCGCCCTTAAGCAAGCATCCAGGAAGTTCAACAACATTCTCCCTACCTCCTGAACTCTAACCTTACGCCCTCTAGCCTTGCCTACACCCTCAATCCTAAGCCCGAAGCAACTCTCATAGCACCACTGCAGACCTGAACCCCAAACCCGAAAACCCTAGGCCCGCCAGGCCTACCAGCACGCACCACATCAACCGTAGACCGTAGGTTTAGGGTTTAGGGTTTAGAGTTTACTTACCTTTGGTTAGTAGGGAATGGAAGAATGGTAGTAATAGTAGTGATAATTGTACCCCATTCCTCCATTCCCTACTAACCAAAGGTAAACCCTAAACCCTAAACCCTAAACCCTAAACCCTAAACCCTAAACCCTAAACCCTAAACCGAAGTTTAGGGTCCCAGGAAGTTCATCAAAATCCACAACTTGGTCCTGGATTCGGACACGATCCCGGGATGGTTCATGGCTGCTCTTTACCTCTTCTTCACTGCGAAGCTTGTCGCTGGGCCGGAGAGCTGTACGAAGTCTTACAACAGGCTTCAAGTCTGTATGGTTATATAGGCATGTTTATTCTATATCAAGGAATATGTGAGTTTTTTTTTATCAGGCTTGCTGGTATTTTGCCAAGGGTGGCGCAATGGATTCGGGTTCAGGGTCTCAGTGACACCGAAAAGCCCTTAACTGGGGCATCTTCTTTGGGTTTTGGCAGGGGTTGACCCCTGGGCTGCTTTAGAGTTTAGGGCTTAGGGTTTAGGGCTTAGGGCTTCGGGAGTAGGGATTAGGGTCTAGGGTTTAGGGTTCAGGGCTTAGGATTTTTAATTGGGTTTAGGGCTTAGGATTGAGGGTTCGGGGTTTACGGCTCAGGATTGAGGGTTTCGGGCTTAGGGTTTAGGTCTTAG